AGTCGCTCCGTCGTCCTGTTTTATTCACAGCAGGTTTGAAGGATTCAAGGTATTCTGGACATTCACACACATACTGCCCTCCTCATCCAAACACAGCAGAGTTAGTCGTCTGTCTGTCTGTCTGTCTCACACACTCTCACACAGTCACACACAGTGGTATGGCAGGCACACTGCAGTGGAGGCTCAGATGCTCTGACAGTCGATCAAAAGGAGGCACTTCTGAAGCAGACAGTGATGAGAGTTCATACGTTCAGTTCTCTGACAGCTGTGGTCACATCACGACTCGCTTCTTCACCAACAGCTGAGGCTAGAGTTAAACCGTTGTGTCAGGATGCTGCTTATTATCAGGTTAACTCGGGATGATTGAAAAACGTGTGATCTGGTTAAAATCATATAAAAGTCAAACAGAAGCCAGGAGAGCAGCCGTGTGGTGTGAGGAGAGCCTGTGAGCTTCTCTGTTTAGCTTCAGCCTGGAGTGTTCATACCGCTGATGTGGCTGCATCGGGACAGCTCAGTAGAGAAAATCTAATGTTTGAAGAACCCATGTGGCAGAACGAGTCGTGAACAAAGAGGGCCTGATGTCTGCTGTAGTTGGGAGGGGATGCAGATGAGCTCCAGACAGTTTCAGGACTTTTTGCCCCGCTCACGTTATTCACTGCAATAAAAACACCTCCGTGGAAACAGCCAGGAGAGAGAATTAAAACCATTCTTTTGGTTATGATGCCAATCAAAAAAAAGAAAACAGTTGAATTTGTGGTTTAGAAACATGGAACCAACACGTATATTTTCCCCACAAAAAAACTCGACTCTGCACGTGAGCTGCATGAAGATCTTCCACCGAGCTGGAGGCGTCTTCCAACAGCTACTGTTGGTGACACGCCATCGATCAAGTCGGTTTTATTTCCCTCTCAGTCCAAACACCTGAAAACTCTCAGAACTCTTGTCACGACTGCTGCAGCCGAGTTACTGACGGTTTACAGGATCTGAAGCGAGTCTGTTTCTGACAAACTTCTGAGTGAGACGCGTAGAATAAAGAGATTTTAATAAAATAAAACTCATCAGAAAATCTGACTTTACGGCTTCTAAACGGTGTCACTTTAGACTCTGGTTGGGATCATGCTCGTCGTGCAGGTCGTGTTTCTAGAGAGCAGAGTAATGAGATCATGTCCAGTGAATCCCGGTTCGCTGACCCAGTCAACACTGAGGGCTTCTGGGACATGTGGATGTTCGATCCCTACAGTTTTTAATTCACATGTCGTCGGATATTCAATTTTAATCAAATAAATCTGATTTCCTGTTCTGCCGTTTCAGCCTCGGATGGAACTAAACGCTCGTGCAGATGAACTCAAACCCCAGCAGAAGGACAAGAGCTTGAATCAACAGCTGATATTCATACGTCACATTCTGCAAACCGTCTTCTTTCCAGACTCGACCTCCTGAACCTCGACTCTTTGAACTGTGAAGTTTTCTCAAAAGTCCGTGAAACCAGCGACATGACAGGTCCTGTTCAGTGTTAATAATAAAAACCCCTCGGCGTCAGCGTCCCGCCCCCCCACCTGCCCCCGGAGGAAAAAGTCCGCCACAGTACAGAATACTTTCCGTGAGTCAGAAAAATAAATTACCGTCCGTTCATGAAACGCGATCCACACCCTGCAGTGTGCTCCCACTAAAACTGTCTAATAATTTACTAGTGTTTCTGTTTGATTGCACACAGTGAGATGAGGTGGCAGCAGCTTGTCAGGAGGCTCTGTGATCAAGTCTGTGAAGCTGTTGGAGCTCCGGCATGCCGCTGCTGCTGCCGCTGTTGCTGCTGCTGCTCTTCTTCCAGTTTTGTATTGTTGGTCCCTCTGGGCCTCCTCCACCGTCAGCCGGCCGCCGTCGGCCCCTGACGTCGGCCCCCCATCGCCGGGTTGGTCAGTCCTGGACGTTCACACTCCGTCCTGCATCACCTCTTCTGCTCCCAGATCTCCGCCATGTTCAGGTCCAGTCTCTCGAGGCTCTTCAGCGCCTGGACGTTCTCCGTGTAGAAGGCCACGTCCACCACCACCAGCCTGCAGACAGAACATGGATTTGAAACCCAAACCAGACGTCTGCTGCCGACTGTTTGTAATCCTATATGTGTTCAAATAATGAGGTTTTCTTGCTCTCTGTGCCAACAGCGCTAATTTTTGTGTCCTTTTTTTTCTTTACATAAACCTTTTGGTTAATACTATCTTACATGAGCCCACTGGGCAGGATATGGCACAGAGGTACATTCACTCTGATGGGGTTTGGTGTTTCTAAGTCAAACATTCCCAACACTTGTGTTATGACATCACTTCCTATGAACAGTTTCATCCAACATCATTCATACCCAACCTAAGCTTTGACTAACAGTGGATTTTTGTACGACCAACAGGTTTCTTCTGGCTGGAAATGACAAACAAGTCATGATGTGTGTTAGAAACATCACCATTTCAAGTTTTATGTTCCTTATTTTTTCATTTCTATTAAAACTGTGCAGTCAAATGTGTTCATCCCTTCCACTCAAGAAAAGGCAAAATTCACGCAAATAACTAGAAACTGAAAAAAGTCATAATAAATAAAAATGTGCAGTTACCCGTGCTGTGGACCTCCGTCATTAATGACCCCGAGTCGAGCCAGCTGCCTCTTCAGGTGCATTTTAAAACTGGCGTTGATCCTTAGAAACAACATCTGTGCAGGAAAACACACATGTGGGTCTTAACGCCAAACTGTGGTTTTCTGTGTTCTGTTCAGATTCTCAGCATGTAGGATAAACACAGTGTTCTGTGCAGGAGCTCACCAGCGTCTGTTCTTCAGGTAAAAGCTCATAAATGGCTTCGTGCATCTTTGCCATCTGCTTGCAGACGTTTCTGAAGCAGGCCGACGGCATCGGAGCTTTAACTTCATACTGAGGACACAGCAGAAACAGCACACATGAAGAACACGACCGGATCCAGTGGGAAACAATAAAACAAGCACACATGAGCCCAAACATTACGACCATTCAGAACTCAGTGTTGATCATCTCGTGTCAGAGATGCACATTGAGGTGTGACGCTGGAGTCATTCTGAAGCGTGAGACAGGAAGCTGCACACCCGGCCGGCTGACAGGATCCTTCCTTGTTAAGGATGAAACCCCGACAGCTGGAAATGCTCAGTCCCTGTGCTGACCACTTATTATGAATGTGAGCTAGCCAACTGGACCTTGGAGCTCTGGAAGAAGAGGCTACTTCATCACACGTACATGTACACCATGTGTCTGGGCAACGTTCTTCTGAAAAACCCTTTGATAGGACCTTGAGCAACCTGCTGCTGATGTTCTGCAGGTGTCTCAGCAGGTAGGGATGCTGTTGTGGAACATTCTTCCAGATGGTCACAATGTTTTGGCTCATCAGTGTACGTTTAAATATCATCATCATAGAACTGAACAGAGCTGCAACAACCTCAAGCCTGTACAGCACTGGGTACCATGAATGACACGTCCTGAGTTCTTAGTTTATGACTGTACTCGTCTCCTGCCCCTTTAACTTGTATCATACTTTCAGCAGATTGGTTTCATCTCTCTACTATAATAACTCATGCTTGTGATTTTATTTTCATGCACTTTGAAGCAAGAAGTACTTTGAGGAAGAGCTCTACAGATAAAGGTTACTGTTGTCACTACATACAGCTGTATGACGCTGATCTTACCCGTGATAAAACCTTCTCAAACAGGCTGTCCATGATGGCCACCAGCTTGGCAGAGATCTCTGCTATGTGATCGTTGTAGTCCTGCAGAACAAGGAACACACTCAGCCACAGAACGTACACACTAGGAGTGTTTAGGATTGATTTTTGAGGTTAGGATTCTTGACTTGGTCGTGTTTTTGGATGAGGACATGCTGGCTTTCACACAACACGAGTCGTTCTAAAGCACATGTGTGTGTGTTGTGTGTGTTACCTTGGTGATGTGATCAAAGTGTCTGAGGACGCTGAACTGTTTGGGCTGCAGCTTGGTCTCAAAGTGAGCTCTGATGATGGGAATGTAGTGAACCACCAGCTGCAGACAGCGGGAAGCTAACGCTGCAAACAAACACGAGGAGTGTGAGTCGTGCAGCACGGCGGCTTCCTATGCAGGCAGTCGTCACTAGTGTTTAAGGTGAAGTGACTAAATCAGCACCTTCAGACGCATTCAAAGGTCTCCTACGCGTTGATGAACTCACACGTCCTTAATGACTTGTGAGCCGTGTGTGCAGCTGCTGGTACCTACCGAGGTTTTTGGTGGTGATGGTCTTGAGGCCAACGATCTGCAGAGCTCCGGCTCCCAGAACCAACTGGCAGCTCCGAGAGTTGAAGTGCTGCAGAAACACAAGAAATGATGGAATCGGACCTGACAGGGGAACTCGAACACTTTACAGGAAACAGGAAGGGGTTCTTCAGTGTCTAGTTGTGAGTACTGATTAGTAGAACTCATCTACTGTTTAATTTTTACCAATATTAAAATCAATGATCAACAAAGACACACGGTGGTTTGGGTGCCGTTTGGTGTTTCTGACCTTGAGGAGGTCCGACAGACGTGTCAGCATGTCGGTGGCGATGGACGGGATGTCGTTGACACACTGACAGTATTCCAGAAAGATCCGGATCAGCAGCAGAACCGTTCTGAAAGAGGGGACACGTGAGACTCGGATTAATTTGCTGAAAACAGGAACAGTATCAGACCTTTACTGGTGAGTGTTGGATTAGTTGAAGCATGATTCCTACCCAACAACCGCATACTTCTGCCCGTTAACGAGCAGAAACTCGGCGGGTTTCCTGTCATCAGGACCTGCAGAAGGAAACCAAATAAATTAGACCTGAAGTCTGTATAAACCTCCTGTCTCAAAAAGCTTGAGGACTTCTGATCTAGACTGTGTGTATGTTTGTAATATTTATGTTTTAAGTGTACAGTAGAAGTAAAGAAGATATGAATCATAAACAACTAAATAAATACGAACACCTCTGGAACAAAGAGCAGAGGTGATATCTGACTGCTGGACCGGTACCTGGGGTTTTACGCTCCGGTAGTGTTATCTTTCCATCAGCGATGGAGTTCACCAGGTCCTGAAACTCTGCAGGAACCTCCGCCTGCTTCCAGCGCTCGTTATCCAGGAGGAGGCTGCAGGGACAAACACAAACATCAGCATCAGCAAACCCAACCGACACCGCTGCTGCAACTCCCTTCTACGGTTTACCGCCTGTGGCAGGTCGAAGCAGAGAATCGGAACAAGTTATGCAATCAAATCCGACGTTATGATGTCACACACAACACTTAAGTAGTAGTTCACAAAAACAAAAGCTGAGATAAACAAAAGTCTAACCGCACTGCAGCAGGCTTCTTTATTTCTAGATGTTATGTCCTTTAACCCACCTACTGCTGCACATCAGAGCCAAAATGAAAACAGTCGTGTACACGGCGCTACGCTGCAGGTTACCTGAGTTTGGTCTTGCGCTCCTCGTGGAAGCGGTGGACGAAGCGGTTGGCCTGGCTCTGCAGCGCCCCCCTCAGGGAGACGCTTCGCCTGCCGCACAGTTCCTCCGTGTCCCTGACGAAACCCTCCACCGCCTGCGAGAGGCACACGAACTCCGCCGAGCTCAGACGCTCCAGAGAGCCGTCCTGTCAGAGGTGGAAACAACCAACACAAAAAACAGGGGTTTTTAAAAAGGATTCACTGTGGCATCAAGCAGGTACAGCTAACAGATAGATGGGGGACGAGTTCAGTGCTGTCTGTCGTACTTTGGCTCTGGCTGTGAGCACTTTGACGCAGCGGTCGTGGCTGACATCGGAGGCGGTGTACAGCAGCTCCTGGACGTTGTTGACCACACGGTTCAGCTCCAGCTCGGTGGGCATCATGTTCTCACCAGACCTGGAAACAAACATCTGCTGTCAACAGACCTGAACGAGCTTCTCCTGTTCTCATAGTTCATATCTAGAATTCCTGGTGACTACAGTGAGTAAAAATGTGAACTAAAAACACCCAGAAACTGCTGCTTGGGCTTCAGAGAGTTAACTCAGGGTTTGGCATCTAATCATCTGCTCAACCAAGAACAGATGTTACGATGTCATGAGAAGAAATCTGGTTTTCAGGAGGGAAAACTAAGGAAACGCGGGACATACATGATGTTCTGCTCTCTGCTGGCGGACATCTCTGAGGCTCCAGAGGTCAAGTCGCCGCCTGCGGTCTCCACCCGTCCCTGCTGGATCCTGGAGCCCACCGTAGAGCTCTGGTCCTGGGCGGCCAGCACTGCCTGCTGCTGCTGCTGGGCCTCGTTCAGGGCGTCGCTGATGAACAGACCCTCGTGGGTGAGGTAGGCGAGCTCGGCCTCCCCCTGCAGCACCGACGGGCTCTGTGAAGCCTCTCGGCCCGACGCCCCTGAACTGGCCTCCTCCAGGAGCCGGTTCCTCTGGTTGGAGTTCAGAACCTCCAGAACCACATTTCTGACCACGTTCAGAGTGGCCTAGCAAACAACGAGAAGGGGAAGAAATTCTGTAATCGGATATATATTTATATATTACAGAATGTTGCCTATGTGTGGGCTTGTAAGTGAGATTTCAAGTTTTTTTTTTTACTGGTATAATGTTTTGTGTTTTTTCTGCATTGATCGATGATTTCTTCTGAAACGTCGAGCCGTTTGCTGAAACTGTAGCTCAGACTTTTGACTAACCTTGATTCTCTGCAGGAAAAAAAGGAAACTCTCAAAGACGCTTTTCAGCAGCTCGAACCACTGAGGGAAGGTCATCAGGCGCATCTGGTCAGCTTGCCTGCACAAACAATTAAACACACTTTAAATCTGTGTTTGCTCGTGAAGCTGTACGTCCTTGTTAATGGATTCATGTTATATGTGTGAGAATTAATAGCACAGCTTTCGATAAAGTGCACCGTCACTGCAGCCATCTAGTGGGATCATCTTCTTCACATCAAAACACCTTTAATCTTTCCAGACTAAGTGGTACACGGCACGATCCAGCAACTTCTGAGATCAGCGGCTGTTTTCTGTTAGAAGCCTCGTAACAAAACAACAACTAATGGCTTTTAATTACAGCGTTGAAGTGATTGGTTACTGAATATGTCTCTCTCTGCACTCCAGCTGCTGCCTTCAGTCATCAGACACTAAATCGTAGTGATGGGACGTACGGCGCCGAGGCTTCGGAGCGTGTGTGAGAAATCCAGGAAGTCCTTTATGAAGCGCTTAACGAGGCTTCGTTAGGAGGCGAGTGACGTCACTGATGAAGGTTTAGGAAGGGGTTCGAGTGTTGGCGAGATTTATGAACATGAAGCAGTGAATCGCCGCAAAATTTGTCAGTGTTTATGCTGGACTTTTGCCAGTTTGCCTGTGATGTAGAGGAAGTAGGTTTCATGAAGGGCTTCCCTGTATGGCAGCACTCTGAGCTGAGCTCTCCCAATAACATACCTGTACATAATGAAATGTGTTACTGCTGTAACATTCACATGGGAAAGGGTTTGCTCCAAAGCCAGAGAAGTTATTTCCAGAAAACGAAACTGACCAAGTTCATCCAAGTGTAGTGGAACAAATGACAATAAAAAATAAAAAGGATTCTGATAGTTGAAATGACATTACATTTTCTGACCAGCAGGGGGCGTTTGCGTGCACATGAAGCCTCCAGAAATTAACCTATTTGTGAACCAAGTGCATAGAAAGCTTCAAGGCTTCATGACGATTCATCTGGCCATCAAACACAATCTCTTAACATGTTAAGTTTGCAGTGTGCTATTTTTGACTCCCCCTACTGGTGGTAAAAGTAATTACAAACACAGTCAACGCTCATGATGTGTCCCTCGCTTTCTATTTTGGACTGTAATCCTTCCTCTACCTCTGTTTTCATGATCCAGACAGTTTAATACTGAGAAGAATCTAAACAAGGTCACATTTATCATAAAATCTAAAGTAGTCACAACACAGACAACTACAGAAATTAACGGATAGCCGGAAACAGTACTATGAATGAACTAAGAACCAGAGCTGTTTAACTTCTACTTACTTAACGACGACTTCATGGTCAATGTCTTCAATGTTCACGACGCTTTCCGCCACACACTGCAACACAAACGGGTTTTCATTACATAGGAACCATTTCTGATTTGTAGTTTATGGTATGAGGTTTCCATCAGTCAGGTCAGGAGTCACACCTGCGTAACGAGGGTCTTGGCGGCCAGAATCATCTCGTCGCTGTAGATATCCAGAAAGTCCAGCTTCCTTTGTCTCAGCAGACCGAACACCAGCGACTCCAGACGCTCCTGAAACGCACACACGAAAACGACAATGCACCTCGAACACTGAGCTGAGATCAGATTTGTGAAACTCCACAGGAAGCAGATTCAGTTCAGCATAAAAATTAAACTGAGATTTGGTCCACATGCTGAGATTAGAGAGGAACATCAGCACAAGAAATCAACCAGGAGTGTTTCAAATCATCAGTAAGGCCTGAACATCACATGCATACATAAAAAACAGTGAGTTACACATCCGTATTTAGACATGATGATTTTAGAATCACTGTTTACGATTTAGTTTTTGATCACGTCTAGTTTTGCCCTGACTACTTAAAAGATGTCAAATCTAGTTCAGTTTATGGACGAGGTTCTGAAATGATGTCGTGTGTAATCCATAATTATGCAACAACCTCAATAAAAACACATGCACACATCAATTCAATTAACAATAAATCTTCCCAACTACACAGATGATTCAGCGCCAATCACAGCCGTCGTATTTAAAACAAACCCTGAGCCCGATTTCAGCAGCGCACGTGATTTCATGGATTTGATGCAATTTCAATGCACGTCAGCAGTTTGTGTGTCTGTGAGTGAGTCACCTTTCGTGAGTCTGCATTTGGTTTGTGGACCTGCGACGGGCAAACCATCCGTTACATACACACATTATTAAATCCAATATTCTCATTTAATGACAGTTTTCTGAATAAATGGAAGTAAATGTATATGGAAAAAAACAGGCTGCAAATCAGAAACCAACCATTTAACTGAAATTCTTTCCTCAAAGTTCTCCTGAAACCGTCTAATTTGATTTTCGTGAGGTCAAAGTGGCCAATTCAGAAATCCCAAACGCTCCTTTACCTTCACTGACTTTCCACTTTTAAAACCCAACTCATTTTTACGGCCTGGCCTTCGACCCGGCACGAGACTCCTGTTTAATTGTTTAATTGTTTTTACTTCTCTTTAATGGTTTTATTACAATTTTACTGTATTTTGCATTGTAGATGTTTTAAATCGTTTTATATTTTGTGTTCAGCACTTTGTATCGACTTTTGTTGTGTTAAAAGTGCTTTGTAAATAAAGTTGAGTTGACATTTATTAATTAATCCAAAAAAAAAACCTTTTCTACGAAAGCAACCTTTTCTAAGTTTTATATGTATATCTGCATATAAAAGAAAGAAAGAAAGAAAGAAAGAAAGAAAGAAAACGCTGCTGTACAAATACTGTTGGAGTAAAGAAGAAACAGAATTCAGTTTTTTAAATAACGGAAGAGTTTTGGTGTGTAGCAGACAGTTTAAGATGAAAGCTACAGGAGCATTAAAGTAAAACGGATATTCAACACCCGTTGTGTTACATAAGCTGACTCAGCTCACTTCATTTCTTTTACTTGAGTTTTGAATCGATGTAAATACTGGTTTTGGAGGTTTGTGTTTTTTCTGAGGAGTTTGTTCAGACCTTCTCCAGGACCTGCGGTTCGTCCTTCAGACTTCGGTTCAGGTCGCTGCGGGAATACATGCTGAAGTCCTCCACCATCATCTTATCGATCAGCTTCTCCAGCTCGCACAGCTGGGAGCCCAGATGTCTGAGGGACACAGACAGAGACAGACAGACAGGCGTGACCTCGGTGGGGTTCCACTTCTAACAGCAGCTGGTGTTTTGGTGGTGCTCGCTATGACACAGCTACAGTTTCAGTTGCACTTCCTGTGCGGAGGCTTAAAGACCTCGTGAAGCTGTGTGACATAACCCGAGCTGTGGTTTGATCTGTTCTTGTGACTAAATCTGGAACTGATCAAACAAACACAGCAAATTCAGACAAGAATATGTCGATCCTGAACAGACGAAGAGGTAAAAACAATGAGATCAAAATAACTACAGAAGACAAATCCTGACTCATCACAGCAACCTTTTATTTTCCTGTATTTTAGTTTTTTTATTTCTGTCTGTACTTCGTGAAAAACTGTATTTTTAGCAGTAAGTTTGTGTTACATCAGATCAAAACTTCTCCATATCCTGTTACTTTCCACATGAAGCTCTTATTTTCTAACTGGCAGCCAACACAAACATTTCATGTCGCCTTTAACACAGTTTAGGTCGGAGGCTTTTTTTCCAGCTAGCATTGTTGGAAACGACAATCTGACGTGACTCTGCAACAAATACTTGGAGAGCAACTCCACCCTCAAAAGGATGTGAATCTGGACATAGGGTGTGTCCGTCCGGCTACACGAGTCAATTCTGTCGAGTCAAACAGCGACATGTTCCCCTTGACTGAAGAGACTTTAGCTCAAACTGTACATTTCTACTGAATCACGTCCAGCATGCACACGATGTACGTCTGTCTGTTTGCAGAGAACAAAGTCAGGTAGCATAAACGAACGAACCCAGGGACAGTCAGACACCCTGACAGAGCCACAGAGCCCCTCCTCACCTGAAGCTGTGTATTCCCTGCAGCTCCTGCTGCAGCACCTCCTTGGTGGTGGCGATGAGCTCCAGCGCTCCGACAAACTCGGAGGTGGAGAGCAGCAGCTGCACAGTGGGCTGCGTCTGATGCACCGCCGCCATCAGCTTCAGCTTGTTGTGCAGCTTCACGCAGTTGTTGCGAGTCATGGCGGTGCGGAGGGCCTGGAGGGGCCCCTGGCACATGACCCGGTCCATGGCTGCCGTCCGGCCCCGCAGGACGGCCACAGCCCGCTGCGTCTCCTGCAGTCGGTCCTGCAACTCGTGCTGCGAGGACATGGCGTGGAAAAAGGCCTCGGAGCGCAGCGAGATCTGGCGAGCTATGCTCACCTCCACCACATCCAGGTAGTGGCTCAGCTGGAGGAAGGAACAGACACAGAATCTGATTATTATCTGCTTTCCTTTGCTAACACAACAGGGCTACAAAACAGTAAGACCTTGCAGAAACTTGTTCCCCAAGGATCTTCCGTTTAGAATTGCTAAAAGGTAAAATGATCAACTGATGAACAGATGAGCAGCCAGAATGATAATCACTCACTCCTTTGCAATTATTACTGATGCTAACCCAGAAATTCATAGTCGTTTCAACTTTTCAGCTGTTACATTTTCCTACATTTCTTTGTCTCATTTGATAGTAAACTGAGGGTCTTTAGATTCTTTGTTTGGCCAACGTGGCCATGTGACCTTGGGAAACATTTATGTGGAGTATGACTGTGGGATCAGTCTTTTGTTTCCCCACTGGTCCTCTCTGTACTCAAAATGTTTCCCATTCAGATAAAAGCCTACTCTGAGTGATCTGTGCACTTTGCTGAGCGTTCACCTTTTCCTGCAGCAGTTTGGACGAAGCCACGTCTCTGCTGCTCTTCCCACCGGCGCTGTTGAAGTGTGACCAGGGCAGGACCGTGTTGAAGGTGGCCGGGTCCTCCAGGGCAAAGTCAGGCTTCATAAAAATCTGAAAGACACAGACACAGGTCAGTGTGGAGACAGTGTTTGTAACCCTAGTTTCATAGACCTGATTAAGTTATATATATTATTATATTACTACAACAAGTTCATGTCCACGGGAAGAGTAGATGTGTTGGTACCTTGGGGACTTGTTCCAGCTCAGCTCTGGATTTGTCTGAAAAAGCAAGAAAAGCTTTGGATCAGTCATTGTTCGAAGAGTTGCATTTCTATGTCTTTTACACTTGGTGCAGCTACAGCTGTCTGACATCTATGAGACGCTTTGAGTGTGAAAAAAAAAAAAAGAGAACGAGGAACTTACATGATGCTGGTTTTTACAGCTTAGAGTCAAAATATCTCCATTTGCACAAATGATCAGGGGTCTGTTACAATGAACACTAATGTTTTAGGAAACGTAAAGGAAAGTTGTTAACATCCTTTCTAAACGTATGAACATGCCAAACATCTGAATCAAGCTCAAAACCTCAGAACAAAAGCAGAATAATAAATGGTTTCCTGATATCTTCACTTATCCTCATTTCTGGATTTAAAAATAAAAATACACATGAGATGGGATAAATACGAACCATCTGCTCTGCACTGCTGCACATCACCTACGAACAATTTACAATCACCAATTAACCTCAGCATGTTTCTGGACTGTGGGAGGAAGCCGGAGAACCCGGAGAGAACCCACGCTGCACGGGGAGAACATGGAGACTCCACGCAGAAAGATCCCGGGTGTCCTTACCGGGATGCCAACCAGCGACCTTCTAGCTGCGAGGCGACGATGCTACCCACCGAGACACCTTGCAGCCCTCTTCTCAAACATTTCCATTCCAAAGTGGTTAAAGCTCTGTTCCAGCAACGCTTTGCAGTTTAAACAATGCCTAATGTCGGCTGTTTTATCACATCTCTGAGTTTCCCACAGATGGAGAATTTAGTGTCGCGGTGGCATCGTGACCAGAGACTCGTGTAGGTTAAAGGCAGAGGGTGTAACCCAGGAGGTTTTCTGATGCTACGATTCACCGATGTCTCCGTGGACGCAACAGTTTATTGATGTTCCCTGATCACCTTCCATGTGTCTGTAGATACAATTTATTGATGATACCGAACGCCTCACAAGCATCTGTGGACGCTATAACTTACTGATGACTAATGCCGCATTACACTGGTAGAAATTAACGAGGTGGCTGGACGCAGACAAGCCTCTAGTCTGCACTTGGTTACTGTCGTGCAGCAACTCAGACAATGTCAGAAGTCAAATGAAGTGATAACGTCTACAAAGGCACACACACAGTCCTGCTAAATATAAGACTAAATGTCAACGGTCATATCGGTGCAACCAATGAAAAGGTTTAGTCGTTTAATAGTTGCACTCAGGCACTCGATTTATATGTATATCTGGAAGCAATGGGTGTTTTCATGGTTGTTTTATGGACTAAAGAGGATGCAGGCCGAGTCCTGCAGCAGTAGCTGGTTAATAATTCATACCGTGGTTGGTGGTGATACTTGAGACGGCGTCCACGTCGTCTTTGTTGGGACAGATCGTCTTGCAGCGTTCGTGGATTCGTTCCCTCTAAAAATAAAATCATGAAAAGACAAAAAGATCAGTGGGTTTATTTTAAACTTCTTCAGCAGTGTCCCTACGAGGCTGCAACCATCACGACACAGCAGAAAACAAAGCTGCCTTCCTCTCATCTTTACTGCGAATGGGTTCAAAAAATAAATAAAAAGGATGTTTAACCACAAGGTGGCACAAAGAAATCTAAATGCATCCAAAGATCACTGCTGTCAGTCAAATGAGAACAATACAGTTGTGGAAACAGGAAGCATCAGAGGAACGACTGACAGCTGCTGTTTTGTCTTAGTCACTGTTTCAGTTATTACAGGACTTCAGGAGGAAACAAGAACTACACGGCAGTGACAAGTAGATGGTGACACGTCTGAACATGAGGCAAGTCTGAGAGGAACAGAAAAACGCTGCTCCAGGTCTAAAGAAAATGAAAGAGTCTGCAGGTGTTTTATAAGGCAAAGTTCAAAATGCATTTTACAGCTACGTGAAACTGAAAACGAGTCATTAAAAAAAACGAAACATAAACAGCTCATAAACTAGAAGACACAGGGGCTGCATATTTGGAACAATCCTCAACTGGAGATGAAAATCATTAAGCTCAAGATGTTTTCTGAGGTGGTAAAAACTATCAACAATAACAAATAAACCACAAAATAAGCAGCTGTAAGAACAAAACTATGTCATTGACTCCCTCTCTTGTAGATGCTGCCGTATTCTTGAGTACAGTCACAGAGAAATACAACAAAACGTGTCCTAAATGTCCAACTACGATCCTCATTTCACTTCCAGAGTTATTGATGGTGCATCAAGTAACGCGACCGGAAACAATAGATCAATAATTCAGAAATCAATATGTTCAGTTGAGCAGAAAAAAAAAAAAACAGTCTGTGGCTCTTCCTTTACTGTTTGTCATTCATACATGTATCTGTGGTGCATCACTACAGCTTCATAACATCTACAAGAAAATCAGAAATATTTAAAAAGCTGAACTAAACGAGACACAAGCAGAAGTGACGGATATTAGCAGAGAGCAGTTTGATCACTGGCCTTTCACTGGTATATCACCAATAATAAAGCAGTTTCAGATCAATCAAATCTGAATGTGCTACTCCGAGGCAGTGTGCTGCCAACTGTACCATCAGATTAATTATGCAGAAGTGACGGTCCATCAAAAGTTCTCTTTTAAACAAACGTGTAAAACATAAATAGGCCAAAGCGTTTTAGCAAAGCTCATACTAGTGTGTTACCTGTACATCTAAATTGATTCCAAATACCAGTTTATTACTGATAATTACTATAAAAAGTTGAAAAAAACTCAGGTGATCACTACTTTCTTTGTGCCAAGTCACACTGCAGCCAGATCTGGAAGAGACTGAATCATTTACGGAAACTATTGCAAATTTCTGACAGATTGTAATTTATGGTTTTAAAAATCAAGCTTTGGTTCAGTATTTCCTGTGCGACACATTTGAAACGTGAGGGAGCGTTACCACAGGAGTCACCATCTGAAACAGAGGGAGGATTAAAGCGTGAGTCAGACGTGTTGCGTGAATCCAACCTCTGCATCTAATCATGTTTCACGTCTAAATCAATTGATTGTAAAGCACTTCTCTCTACCCAGACCTGTGATACACACATGTTCATATCTACGAACGTCCATAAACATAAAAACACTCGTTAGAACTCCACAAGAGAGAAGAATTGTAGAAGTACTCCACAGAAAGCTGTACATCCGAGGGTACAGGTCAGCTTCCTACATCTTCAATCATAAATGTCAGGAAAGCGTTTATTTGCTGCCAGGACACAGAGGTGTAGTGACTGATGCATATGCTAGAGGGAGGATTTAAACAGGACACACATGACAAAACCTGAACCTATTCTTTAGGCAGGGCCTGGCAAACGTTCCAACCAAACCAGTTCTAGTTCATGTCAATATGTTGAATAATTCTCCACAGAGGACAGTCAGCCTGTCCATCAGGCTCTGGAGCTGCCTTCACCTGCCTCTCCAACATATTGTGTTGCCATGTTTATCTTCACACCTGCACACAAATGCAGCCGGCACGCCACCACCCTCGCTACCACTTTTTAATAAATGTGGCCCAACTAAAAGACACAGAGAGAGTCCGCCCAGTGCTGGAGAATCTACACTCCTCTCTGAAAGCAAATGCCTGCACATTTTAAAAGCTTTGATTTTTGATTTCCTGAAGCAACGCAAAACTATTTTCACGTCAGACTGTTCTCACTTGTTTGAGTTTTCCTCAGAGCTTTTCTAGTATAATGCACGTTTTCTATGTTTTCTAAGGATTGCAATGGTCATTTTGGTTTTATTAGAAAGACATCACATATGGGGACAGAGACCGAGGAAGGACCATTTAGAGCAGCTCCAAACCCTGAACCAGGAACATGACACTCTGCATGAAGTGCGTTTGGTTTTAAACCACTCAACCGTCATGTAATAAGATAATAAAAATAAAATAAAAGCTTGTAATAATGAGCGTGTCGTGTAAATCTACCCGTGAGGAAAACCCAAAACATGTTCATTCAATCCAATCCAGCCCTACAGCTACATGTTTGTTGAATCTAAAGATCAAAATGCTAAAACATCTCCAATAAAAGCAGGTTGTAAATGTTGCTGTACTGAGCAGATGAACAGGGAAACAGCAGGAGCTGAAAGTGCACCAACAGGATTCCTGACACACCCACATCAGGAACTTCAGGAAATCTTAGTGTAAACTTCAGAAGCAGACATCAGTACACACAGTCTGCTGAGCTCTGAATCAGTCCTCCACCAATCAGAAACGCTCTGAATAATTTATACCCCCCGGTGCTACCTGAGCCATCTCCTGTAGGTAGGGCCCGAAGTCTTCCCTGGTGATGCTGGGGAGGTAGAAGGAGGGCATCACCTCCGTCTCCGCGAAGTCCAGCCCCCATGTTTTGGTAAAAAAGTCCGACTCTCGTTTGGCGAGCCGCGGGTCGTTCAGCGCCGCCGGGAGGTTGACCTTCGAGCTGTACACCGTCCACCGGTCGTGCTCCGCCACGACGGACGGTCCGTTGCACAGGCCCCGCCCCTCACCTGCAGGATCACCGGGGAAACGGCGTCACTTTTGTTCACAATTTCAGAGAAAAGTTGAACTTGTAAGATACATTCATGGGCTTGTTTTTGTTTTCAGGTTCTCAGACCTCTCGACGTGCAGCATCAAGAGCAAAGAAACTAATAATGCAGGGTGGATAATAACTGCAGAGATGTATGTTTTAGTGTTAAATGTGTGTTAAAACTTCAGAGTAATGTTGGTATTTTTCAATATCACACCACATTTCCAGTAGTGAGCTCATTTCTGTTGCAATGCTGCACTTTTCTCAAGCTTCTAAAATGTTAGGATTTTAAAAAAATCTATACAAATTTAAATTAGTGTCAAAAGTGATGCAGGCTGCACTTTTTCCCACCGGTGGGCTCCTTGGGGCAGACATCAGGCAGGGAGCGGATGGTCCGGCATCGAAGGGGGGAGGGATCCCGGTCCTTGCGGTAGATCCCGTCTCGGCCTCCACTGCCAGGGCGAGGCACTGGGGAGGAGCTGTGGCTGGAGGCCATGGCATTGGGACTCGCCTCCCAGGAGGCTAGCTGGAGACACACAAGCAGAGCTGGTGTTAGATTGAGGAAGAGGAACCAAAACAGTACAGCTAAAGTTCAGCAGGAAAAAAATGCCTCGCAAACATCCATCCATCATCTCTACACCTTAATCCTCACCAGGGTGGTGGGGGGCTGGAGTCTATCCCAGCTGACTCAGGGTGAAGGCAGGTTCACCTGGACAGGTAACCAGTCTATCACAGGGAAAACTCGTTGACATCTGACAGTAGCTTTTAGCAGACAGGAGAAAAAAGTGCATGTGTTCAGGACTAGTTTACGGGGCGGATGAATCCATCCTCCAGTATACTTGACAGCAGGATGGTACAGGTGAGATGGAGCAGAAACTAGACGACGGTGTGTTTCATGGTAATTAAAGTACGTCTTTGCCAATGGAACAGATTTTTGGAGAACAAAGGAAAAACACAGAAAATAACCACATGTAAAACTTCAATCCACTGATTTCAGCCTAAACCATTAGAGAATAATCTGCTTGATGCCGACAGATTCACTGCCTGCTCCAACTCATTTCTGCTGACAGCTTTGACAGGAACACAAAAGGTTTATGGACACCAAGTGAAACCTGTTCGTGTGTCTGCAGGCGGCTGCAAACCTGAACTCAAAGTGCAGGTTTAAAGTGCAGCACCAGCGGAATTCAGGTTCAACCACAGTTCACAGTCTGTGTTACATCTTATCTTATCTTATGTTATCTCAGTACATAACATCCTGTGTGATGCTTCTAAAATGCCAGGTGCCACTGTCTATGGAGGAGTGAGAGCGCCAAATTACAAAACAGCTGCTAAATCTTCTACTTTCTTCACCAGCTTGTCTTTAACTGCACCAGTGTGATGTATGGTGCTGGGCAGGTAGAGCTTGTTCAGCTGCTTCTTGAATCACTGAGACTGAACCATACAATGAATGAGCTGAGAGATGCTGCAGAGTTCTGCATAGCTGGGCGACAACCACTACAAGCAGCTCCTGTCACACTGGAAATACTCTACTGAGCTGTGTAGTATGACATTAACACCACCTCTCCTTAAAAATCCTGCTTACAAAGAAATAACTTGCTTGCCGCCTGAGTTTCATACAGCCTGGCAGGACGTGAAGCGGTGATGTGTTGTGCTGACAGTCGGCTCTAATCTGACTGCTCAGGCTGTGGAGGTGTAAGACCCTCTGCTGGTAATCCCATCACACTGATGAGAGGATTAGTGGAAACAACCTCACCGTTACTATGCCACTGCTTTTAACTCCTTCTGATTCCATATATACAATATATATATGAGGCATCTTAGTAATAAGCATCTTAAAGTATAAAACTTGAGACTTGTCACAATCCAGCCTGGCTGCCTCTCTCTTCTACCTACTGAGACCTCTGTGAGGTAAAAATAGAAATAAGTGGCCGAGTTATAATTTTGGAGAGTCGTGCTGCTTTGAAGGTTTAGGAGATACAAACTGCAGTCAGGTGTCCACAGATCATCATTATTTTATATCTGCAATAACTTCAAGTCTTGACATAATCCATCACAAAGACAGAAAGAGCTGCATCTAGAAGGCCAGTGCATAACCATTATGAGTTTAAAACCACTTTCCCCATTGTTTGCATGCAGACACAGGCAACTCAGACTATATCTAAGAATCTAATCTAAT